TGTGTGTGTGTGTGTGTGTGTGTGTGTGTGTGTGTGTGTGTGTGTGTGTGTGAGCACACATCTGGAGTCTAGACTTTGTGGCTCTGTGGGTCCTATCTTGCAGCGTCGAGTCCAGAGACCGACCATGTTGACATAGGTGGCACACACATCCCGGCATCTGTTTCAACAGTCACCAAACCCCCCACCACCATCCTCACAACCACCACCGCACACACTTTGATTCTCCGCTGAGAGTTACGAGGGAGAGAGGAGGGGACAGAGATGGGTGCGATGTGGAGGTATGCAAATAGGGAGGGGTGGAGGGTTCTTGTAACAAATAGCAAAAGTTGGCTTTGTAAATTGTCCAATCCTCCATTTTTATCCATTGCTTTGTTAAACTATAAAGAGATGGAAAAGTAAATATTGTGTGCGTTTGAGTTTTTTTTTCTAAATGATTGAATAGTTTGTGTGATTAGCATATACAGTGAAAAATATATTGTATTTCCTTTTGGAGAGATATGACCAATCACAAAAATGGCCAGTTACTCATTGTGCATTAGCGTATGTGGAGGGAGGAGTGTGTACGAGGATAAGTGTGCCTCTGTGAATGTGTTTGTATGCAAAAAGAGCCTTTAGCACTTGCAGACCTGAACGGTTTATCAGAGCACTGTCACTTCTCTGGATGTCAGGAGATACATATAAAGCTACATGTCATAATGTGCACAGATAAATAAACAAAATAATGTACAAGAATATAGTATGGAATCTCTGCACTGAAGGAGTCATGCTAAATCAAACAATGAATACAACAAACAAGCAAGCAAGCAAACAAACAAACAAACAAAAATCCATAATGTTTGAATGTTCTAAAAATGTCCCTACCTCTTTTCTTTCCCCTCACCTTCCTCATCATTTCTTTTTTTATCCCTTTCATTTGAACTCAACTACTTTCAGGTCATTTGAACATTGCTCATACTCTACAAAACTACTTTTCAATTGGTGAGCTCCTACATGCACTCTAGCTTGATTTCATGAACTGACACTATAAGATATTTTTTGAGTGATAACTGAATTTTGGATATACTTTTACTTTGTGGTCAATTATAATCATTTACTTTAAACAGCAAAATAATCAACAAATCTCTAGTTTTAGTGGTTCTTTCTATAACATACTTTCTTGTTTACTATGACATCATATCCAGGATATGACCAGGTTTTCATTGAAAGAACACATGATCCTGGGCTATTTTGTCCGTGCTCAGTCAGAGTG